AACAGTTTGCACGCAACAGCAATAAGGACAGGGAAGTGGAGAGAAAATCCATTTGGGAAAAGTGACGAAAGAGCCAGTGAGATCGGTCACAAGCGATTTTAGAGGGGGGGGGATAAAATACGCGTTGCGACCGCATTACACGACGCACAGGCACGCGTGGCCAGCGGTTTATTAGCCAAGCTTTCATCTTATTATACACAAGCTGTGGTACAGATATTGTGCCATCGGAATCATGGCTGAATAGGAAAACAGTGCAAAGAAAATAACAACAACAAAGGCTTTGTTTGCCCAGTTTACCCTCATAGTTTTTGATTCTTTCTCAGTTTGTTTTTTAGGGGGAGGAAGGAGGGACATCGCAACTCACCGATGCACACGTCCGCGACTGACCTCGATCTTGAGCCGTGGATTCCAAGGCCTTCAGACCAGCAATTATTCGCATCTCTCGGACCCCAACCAGGTAGTCGACAACAACCGGCCGAGGCCAAATGTTTCGTCAGCTTTTTCATGCGGCTTCTCCAAGTTGCAGACTGTCCACTAGACCGTTTCTTCCAGCCCTGTCCAGCAACCGCAAACAAAGCACGATGCGGGTAACGTTGAACAGAAGGCCGCAGTACGTGTCCCAGCCACCGCAGTCGATGCAGTGAGAGGAGCTCCTCGAGAGAATGGCTTCCTCGTCCCGAAACACGCTGGCTAATTTCTAAATTGATTACGTGGTGCCGTCACCACACATGGGTAATGGACCGCAGACAGCGATGCTCAAAAATGGATAGTCTGCGTAAGTCAGCTTTACGAATGGGCCAGGTCTCGCATCCATACAACAGTACAGCACGAACAGTTGCACAATAGACCCGCCCTTTGATGAAGAGACGAATGTCCTGGCGACGCCACAAGTGCCTCAGATTAGAAAAAGCGAGGAACGCTCTTGAGATGCGCATCGAAATCTCATCTCTAACAGCCCCGCCAGCAGTGATGCAACTTCCCAAGTAGACAAAGCTCTCCACAACCTCCAGTGTCTCACTACCAAGAGTGAGTGCAGGCGCAGGCACCTGCCAGTCTTAAAAGAGAGCCTTACATTTGGATGGCGAAAAGTACATACCATACTTTGATGCGCCAATCGCCAAGCGGTTTAGTGCAAGTTGGACGGCGTATGGACCGTCACCCCGTCACCTAACAAGACGATATCAGCATAATTTAAATCAACAACTGGACTACTTGAGAGGAGCTTAACGCCAGCGTTCAACGAATCGTCCAGAGCATTCCTTAGGACATCCTCAATGGCAAAGTTGAATAGGAACTGAGAGACAGGGCACCCTTGTCGAACTCCACTGGAGACCACAAAGGAAGGCGAAAGCTTGCCATAAGCCATAAGCCTGATCGAGGTCAGACCATAAAGAGCGCGCAGTATGGGGACGAACTTCTCGGGGACGCCACTTCTCAGCAGGCAGTGTCACAGTACCGTCCGTTCGACAGAATGGAAGACTGCACGGATATCCGAGAACACAGCAATCGTTGGCCTCTGATATACATGGCGGAGCTCGAGGATCTGGTGGAGTGTGAAAATTTGGTCGATGAAGCCGCGACCAGGGCGAAACCCAGCTTGTTCTTCTCGCTGCATCGATTCGCGTGTTGGGGATAGCCTGCGAAGTATGATGGACACCAGCAGCTTGCAAACGACGGGGACTAAGCGTATGTTTCTGTAGTTAGAGCAGATTGTGCGTAGGCCCTTTTTGAAGATGGGGACGACTATCGATTCACCCCAAGATGATGGAACTTTCAATTTTGATCAAACTTTCGAGAACAAAGCAGTGAGTTCTTGAACCAGCGAAGCGACATCATCTTTAAATAGAGCTGAAGGAAGGCCATCAGGGCCGGGGGCTGTATAACGTCTTTTGTGGCGGAGCTCCTGCTCGATTTTCTGGTAAGAGGTAGGATATGTGGGGGTAGACCATTCGGCCCCAGTGCGAGCACCAGAGGTAGCAGATGGAGCTGGGGGCCAACAAAACAGCGAGCCAAAGTTTCGGCCCATCGCTCCAGCCGTCGTTGAAGATTGGTGATTAAGGTGCCATCCTCTTCGCATATTGTTTCACTTATATCAGACCGAACACCTTCAGTGACTCGATTGAGATGGAAAAGTTTTCTGGTATTACCAGAGACTAACAAGCTCAATCTCCCAAGCATATTCACACCACCAAACTTAGCGGTCCATTTGCAGACTCCTGCGCAACCCTCGACCCAGGGATTGACGTTCTTCACTGTGGCTAAAATCCGACGGGATCAAGCGCTGTTTGTCCATCAGCAACAAGAACACGGCGGAAATCCAATGTTTCGGTGGGTGACGGGCAACTCCACAAGTGTCGATACCGACGGAAACTAAGGCATCTTCGATCTGCGCCGACTGCGAATCGAGGTCACCGCCAACAGCTGAGCCAAGCTTGGTACCTGGTTAAAATCGCAGCGTTTTATGGATTTGCGACGTCCGGACGGTAGTGAACGCGCTTGCGTGATCCTCCGAAACGCATGCAAATCTTGGAGGGAACCAATGCGTGATCGGAGTCTAGAAAAGTTGACCAGTACGATCGGCAGTCCGTTACGCTTCCGCGCCATCTGTAGCTGATTGTTATGTGGTCAAGCCAGGAGCACTTACGTTTGTGAGGACGGGAACCAGATAGCAGTGTGTCCCGTCGACTGCCGAAAACTAATGCTCGAAAGAAACAAGCGATGATTAAAGCAAAGAGCAAGCAGTTTGTCTCCATTGTCTGATCGACTGCCACCGAGGCCAAAACTACCTCCAAGGTGGTGCTCGCTTGGTAAAAGGCCGCCAACCCACGCATTAGTCTTCGGCAAGAAAGACTATATCAGTCCTTTTGGAAGAACGCAGAATTGTATGTAGCTGCTGGTAAAAGCTATCATTGACTGCATCCGGGCTGTAGTCTGTAGGGGCGTAGGCGGAGACGGCAAATAAGGCACGCTTAACGTCTCGACGCCTGCTTACATTACATGAACCTCTTAATCGGACTGCGCAAAGCCGACTGTTGACTGGATCCAGTCAAGCAGAGCTGATTCAGTCCTGGCACTCAGTGTAACCCAACACCTGCTTGGCCAGAGGGGGCAGTTTCTGGGTCTCCGGAAAGGCGCAAGTGGTATTTGGCGTCAGTGCTAACTGGAGAGGCCCTTCTGATGACGGCGCTAGAGTCTCGTAATCTGGACTCTGAAAGACAACAGATGTCTACCAAAAGCGTTTCAAGAGTACGGGCCAGACATGTTTAGCGTGCGATCTGCATCAAAGTTCGAGCATTAAACGCTGGGAAGATGAATGGAGAACCAGGTCGAAGAAGAGCTGGAGCCTCGGTAGAGTGGGAGACGGTTGCCATCGTAGGACATTGAAAACTGGGAGTTTGGCTGTTACTTCCATCAGTTGAGAAAATTGGGTGGTTTGTGACGGTGACCGAAGATATAAGAGTACATATAGGCGGAGGACGGGAGGTGAAGTGATCTGTGAGTGGAGGTTGTGGAGTTGAGTTAGCAGAGATGATAGGTATAGCAAGAGCAGTAGTAAGAAGTGTGGTCCATGATTTGTCAGTGAGCGTGATACTACCCGGTTGCCCAAGCCAAAGTAGAGGGTTGTTTTACGGGGTCCTACCCGAGGCTTTGAACAAAGATCTAACCTACAATCTTAGTTAGAGCCAATCGAACTGAGCTCACCTATAAAAAGTTGCTTCCTTAATTGTGTTTTGGTGAAAGAGGACGAGTGGTTTCCTGTGGAACTCACATACGAAGAATAGTGAGGTCAGATTCGCCTGACGTCTGGCCAATAACCTGCTTGGGGTGAACGGGTTTGAATAAACTTGGGAAGTGCCAACGACCATAGACCAACAGGCCGCGAAATTCACACGCCGCTCACAACGACAGGCAACATTACTCGTCAAAGTTAAACTCGTTGCCTGTAAGTTATTGCTATCTAACTTATGTTTCTAATGGTGAAGTGGTAATAACGTAGGAATGAGTATTAACCGACGTTACACGGCTGTGCGCCGTCCGAAGTTAGTAGCAAATAGGTTTGCTCGTGTCCAGCAAAGCATTACGATAGTGAATGTCCAAGGTCATTTGGAGTAGGGGGATGCATTCAGGAAGTAAAACAAGTCCCGTTACATTCTGGAAAGTGGCATCGATAAACATTTTCACTTAGTCAGAAAGTGACTTTATCCCCGTGCGAATAGAACTCGGTAGTGAACCCGGAGAAAAAAAGTCAAAGGTGGTCACAAACAGCCATAAAAAAGAAGACATCGATTGGCAGAAAGGCTTGTTTGATCGAATAAATACCCTACAAATGGAAGGTGTCTGGTATAAGCCGGTTGACACATCTGATGTCATTCCAGACGACGCAAACAGCAGTACATCAGCCATTTGAACTGATGCTTCGCTGCCATACAACCATGAGGACCTATGGAATAAAGAATAATAAGCGGGAGAGAAGGGAGACTTACCTGAAAACCTTAATGCCCTAAGCAAACATTTGGGGACGGCTGTGTGAAGAACACTGTCGACTAGAAGACGGCATTACAAACCGGGGTCAGCTGAGTTTACAGCTACGGCGCCAATCAAACTGGGAGAATTCAACCAACATCGCAACAGTATATTCGCAGGCAATGATAGGTATCCAAGTAACATCGTAAAATTATGAATAACCAAACATAGTGAAGCAGCCTGAACACCAGACGTATACTTAAAGACAAGACTAGTGTGATGTGACATTTAAACTTGTAGTTGCCAGTCAATGGCACCTGTAACCAAACCGCCAGTAACTCCGCAATGATGAGGCTAGCGCGGCTTGTGATCGAATTGCCCGGGTAAGCGAACAAACAGGCAAACAGAAAAGTCAACACAGGCCACCATTAGTTGCACCAACCGGAGTTTTTGACCACTGTCCTCCGTTTACATGCACAAAACATATACTGAACGTAGAAAAAGAGAAGAATTTGAAACTGTAAGGTTTCACTCACCGAGACTCGCTCATCATGGCAGCGGCGCTTATCAGCAATTCCATCTGATGGTCAGTGTTATACGCGCGAGCGTAGGCCACATTATCTAACACATCGCTTCCTGAAAGACCATAACGTTCGGCAGCAGCCAGTAATCGTTCCGGACGGAATGTTCCCTCTGTGTCGATGTACAGACACTTGCCTTCTCCACCGCCCATATCTATGGGAAGCTAAAAGAGGTGCGACAACGGAAAATGAAGAATAGCGAAAGGAGAAAGTTAGGAGGAGACAAAGGATTTTAATGCATCCACGATGATATGGTTGGATATGTTGCTTGCTGCATGCGTTGTGCAACTCAGGCCAAAAAGCATCGAGCATCAACGAGTCGCATTGGAGAAACGGAAGAAGTGATAGAGCTACTATCGTAAACGGCCAATTGGACAATGACCCCATCACATCTCAAGCTGATTTATGGAGCAGAGATAGACTGTGTAGACCATAAGTCAAATGACCAGTCCGATCGGGAAACTGTTGCAAAGCGTCCCATGTGAAACACTACTAAGGCATGTGGATGAGCGCCGATCCTTTTAAACAGCGAAAGTACAGTACAAACTGAACTGATTGGGATGTGTTGAGGCGATTTCTCCAGTATGTCAAAGCTTACCGCGGCATAAGCAAGAAGAGGCAAGATAAGATGGAACTGGCATCAAAGAATCAGGCGCAAATAGTAAACGCGAGTCGCAAACCCCTAAAATTGAATGTTGAGTAGATAAATAATTATCTACAGACAAGACGTCACCGGGTAGCACAAAATATACAAAAGATGCAACCGTTAGGGACATCACACATCAATATCAGGAGGAAGAGTGAAAGCTGGACGATGTGCAACATATTGTCAACAGACATGTATTAAAGATTAATCCAAACCTCTCACTATCCTCTAATAATCAAAACTACATAAGCCGACCATCGGACGATGGTGATCCAGAAAGGCAGGTCGTGCCTAAGGAAGCCAACCCTGTCCCCTGAACATTGGAAACACGTAAGGCAGCGGCAGATGAATTGTGCTATAAGACAGGTAGTTAGCTGGTCAAACTAGCTAGTGTATGTTCCCGTGGGATCAAGTGATCTAAACCACTGTGGCCCGAAAGTGAAAGAGGGCCGATGGGATGTGCACTATTAAGCCCCCACGAATGGATGAAAACAGACATCTAATGACTGCAGTTATGCGGTGTCTATCTGGCTGAACATAGATGTGTCAAATCGAAATCGCAAATAAAAATAGCCGTGAAGAATACTTGTGTAAGAAACGGAAGCCTCTGCACGTTCTAAACATGGAGAATGATTACGGAGTTAATTATTAGAGTAGTAGTATGGGTCTCATGTGAAAATTGGATTATCAAAAACCAAATTAACCACTGTCCGAAACTGCACTGACTACTGTGCAATCAGACTACCCGCTCAGACACAAGTTGCGGCGTGCACACATCCACAGATACATGCACGCATACACGACTGGATGTTTCTATCTTTTAGTGCTACAAGTACCCGCGTTAGTTAGACATTTGCTAAAGCGCACTGTTGACTTGCTTACACAACAGTGACCATTACATAGCTCCGGGCTATATTGAGATACGTTGGTTGATGCGTAGTAAAAGAAACCGCGCTACCGGAGTGTTTGCCGAACCCAGACTGATTTCATGCCATCCGAATACCCAAAAGCTAGCTACCTCGGCGTCCACAGCTCGACGATGATGAGTGTGGCTAGATGAAGTCCCATAGCGGACAGTAGATGTTATGGAACAAAGGCGTGAGGAAATTGATTGAAAGACCCAGCTGGATGATGAGTGCCAGCCTCCCGGATGTGTGCCCAGCAACGACAAGCGGAAAGTTCACATACAGCCTGTGTTTTGATGGCCACTAATCTTTCCGTGCAACAAGCACGGTCTGTTTTACACCGACTCATTTTCGGTCGTAAGGTAGTCTCCGGTTTCTCTCGCCCACTACAACAGAGAAGGCGTCAGCAGTACACACCGGCGCGCCGCACTGGAATTTCGCGCCTACGACCACCAGTAGGGCTAAGGATACTGCGAGGGTCGCCCACACTTACCCAAATACGAACCCGTGACCCCACGACGCACAAGGCACTCTCGTCATGTCCTCGGTTACTGACCGATCCATTACTCTTATTATCATGGAAGCCAAATCAATCGCACCCCTGCACGTCCGATTATTATTACTTAACTGAGCTGAACAGCTAGGTTCACCTAGAGTAGGGGTATCCGACCTGGGGGTAATTACCCCCAAAGGGGTAAAATGGCATTTTGCGGGGTAAATACTAGTACGAGGATTGGGTCAGCAATCGGTCGCTAAACAAGTTTAATAACAAAATCATCCGTATCAAAAAATGCCGCTAACTACCTATGCACTTTGGATTAGCCATCAGTGACCAGTCATTAGTCACTGCAACCAGATGACGCCTCTATCGGCTTCCGTGGCTATCGTCTGGCAGTCGTTCGCCGGGTCGAATAATGGAGTCGATTGCAAACTAGTAGATGAGCCTTGGTCAGACGACCAGGCAAGGTGACGCGCGGTTGTTTCCAGGTTAGAAGGGTCAAAACGGGCGTTAATGTTCACCACCTATCGATACAGAGTGGTGGTGTCAAGTTATCATGCAGGAATGACTTGGAATGGAGAAATGCAACACGTGAGAAGGCACTGATATCTGTTCATGTTTGATCATGAATCACACACGAAAGGGTCATTTGGCGTCTTGATTGGAGATAACAGCAGGCGTTTGGAAGTTCGCAGAACACCGCGTTTTGAGTCACAAAAAAAGGCAGAATCAACGGATTGGACGCCAGTGACCACTGGGTGTTGGGTTGATCACATTCATCTACAGATGTTTTTGACAAGAAACCATGGCGGGTGAGTGATTTAATTCAATGGTTTTGATATCGACAATAATGGGTTTATCTGCAGACGTTTACGCTAATATCACCTAGATTAAATCACGAATATATATATATATATATATATCATTTAGTTGACCAATTTTTGCAGGAACCATGTCTTCTGGAAAAAAGCGGTCCTACAAGGAAGCTTTTCTGCAATGGGGCTTCATCAATTTTGTTGATAAAAATGTCGAGAAGCCGCAATGTGTTTTGTGCAGCAAAGTGCTCACTTGGGAGAGCATGAAACCCATAAAATTGAAAGGCCACTTCGACCGAAGTCATTCTCAGTTTGTAGGCAAAGATGTTACATTCTTCAAACGGAAGGAAGCTGTGCTCAAAAATTCGCGCCTGAATACATCGGGCTCATTTTTCAGTCAACTGAAGCTGGTCTTGAAGCGTCGTACCGCATCGTTCTCCGAGTCGCCGAAAACAAGAAACCGCATACTATAGGAGAGGATCTCATAAAACCTTGCATAAGCGATGCCGTGAAGCTCGTTCTTGGAGAGCAACATGCAGAAACGATAAGCATGATATCACTTCTAACAACACAATCAAAAGTCGTGTCGAGGATATGAGCAAGATTATTTTGAATAAGGTGCTCAACGAAATAAAGTCAAGTCCTTTCTTCGCAATGCAGTTAGATGAGTCGACCGACGTTGCATCCTGTTCTCAGCTACTGGTGTATGTTCGGTACATAAAAGGCGACCGCTTCAAAGAAGAGTACTTGTTCTCAGAATCATTGAGCACAACTACATGAGGCGAAGATGTCTTTCGAACAATGAAGGATTTTGTCGAGGAAAAGGATTTACAGTGGTCGAGGTTGGTGGGTGTCTGTACAGACGGAGCCCCATCCATGTTGGGCGTCCGTACTGGATTCCAAACGTTAGTCAAAAAATTTGCTTTGCACTGTACCTTCAGCCACTGCATAACATATCGTTATGCTTTAGCAGTGAAAACTCTTCCGCCTGTTTTGTTGGACACGTTAACCAACGTAGTGAGAATAATAAATATTATCCGCGGTAGTGCGATATATACAAGAATTTTCAAAGAGTCGTGCAATGAATTTGGAGGCAAATTCGACGTGTTGTTATTGCACATGGAAGTGCGTTGGTTATCACGAGGCAGGGTGTTGCACCGAGTGCTTGAGCTTCGAGAAGAAACTGCAATGTTTCTTGAAAGGAAGGAGCTGCATAAGGGTAAGGTGAACAGGTTAAACGTCATGATAACAGACAAGGTATTTATTTCCAAACTAGTATATCTTGCAGATTGCTTCGGAGAAATAAATGCACTGAACAGCTTGGTAGGAAATATGGTTAATATTTTAACTGCTCAGGATAAGGTTGTCAGTTTTCTTCGTAAAATGAAGGTTTACCAACGCAGAGCAACAGTTGACGATGTGTCGATGTTTCCAGAACTATCAATGGTGCTCGCTGGAAGAAATGAGACATGCGCTTTCACAGGTGATATAACTTGCCACTTGTCATCATTGGTCCATTCGATCAGCAAATATTTTCCTGATTTGGAAAATTGCCGAGTAAATGCTTGGGTGCTAAGACCCTTTTCAGTGGATGTGAAAATCTTTCCGGATAATACCATCGAAGCCAAAGCACAATTCCAAGGAATGCGCGAAGATAACGAATTAAAAATAGATTTCCAAAGCACACCACTGGTAGCATTTTGGATAAAGATAGGTGGTGAGTATCCATTGCTATCGGAAAGAGCATTGAAAATATTGATCCCATTTGCAACAACTTATAGATGTGAAAGTGGATTTTCGACAACGGTTTCGATGAAAACAAAAGCAAGGAGCCGAATGAACCTGGAGCACGACTTCGGAGGTGCATTAGGAGAAACTGAACCAAATATACCAGAAATTGTTTGCACTAAGCAATATCAACCGTCTCATTGATGTATATCGCCTCTTGATTACATACAATGTTATGCCAAACAACTGTTTTCTTTCTTTTATTGATCAAGTTATTAAAAATAACTATCAGTTCCCATACTTAGAAGCAAACGGCGCGATAGTTATTCGTTAGTTAGCGTTTGAAACGGAAATTGGGGGAGGCGGGTTGCTTATAGCAAACCTCAGTTGTGAGAGCCTCAAACATGTTAAGTATCGCCGGTGTACAGCAACATGCGTTAAGGATAAGTGTGATATCACTTTCTAACAGCACCCATCAAAGTCGCGTTCAGGACATCAGCGATACTTTGAACGCGGTACTTAATGAAATAAAATCATGGATTTTCTTCGCACTATAATGGGGTCTCGTTTAGCTGCATGATCGAAAGTAATTACATATGGTAATCATTTGCCGTAATTTAAATAGAAAATGCAGTAGTTGTTAGCTAATTGGCTTTAGAAACTTTGGGGGTAACTGCTTAAAGTGAACCCGCTTTGGTGGTAACGGCCTCCAAAAGGTTGGAAACCACTAACCTAGAGGAACATATGACAAGCAGTTTGCCTAACCCAAGCAGATCGTGTTACTTCGGCTGGTAACAAAAACAAGGCAATCTGAAAAGGAAAGTAAACAGGCCTAGGTGGGTGAAAGAAGCAGAGGTCACTTAAATGAAAAGCAGTTGGTGTGCACTTGGGGGAGTTCGGCCACAGTGAAGATGCACCCAAAAACCAACAACAAAATCAAAGAGCGATTCATCTGAGTTAAGGGTGTGAATGAAGTTGAACATGTGTCGACCAAATACCACAATGCTCATTGGTCTGCGAATAAAGCAGATGGGGAAAGAGTGGAACAACAGTGAGTAGGAAGTGAAGATCTCACAGGCTCACCTGACATGTCACTGCGAGCGTATGGCATATTTGGGTTTTCCCGGTGCGAAATTCTCCGAATAACTCGGTAATGGAACCAGTTTCAATACCACCTGTACCGACTGTAGATCAAAGAATAAAAATACCTTGCAATAGCTTATCTAGCTCTTTAGATCCTGTGGTTAGCTGGATAATCTCCGAGCGCTTTTGGTGGAATTCAGTTGCCGTGGTAAATCCGAAAGGAACCAATTTCTGGGCGGCTTCCTATCAATGAGACAGTGTAATCAAGAGCAATCAAATTACGGTTATTTTGTCTGCTTTGGCCTCGCTGATGCCCTTAATAGCCAAAAGGGTCTTCTTTGGAACGAACTGGATGCTCTCGACAGTGTGAAAGCCCGCTTCTCGAAGTTTCTTGATATCGGCGGCTGCGATGCCGGCACTCTAAATTGACGGAAGAAAAGAGATGACCAAATACACAGTCAGACTAAAACGTACAGGCTGACGCACGTCATCCAAGTGAAGAGAACCAGAATCAGAGTTAACCAGGGATGATCTGATGCCTCAATAAGTGGGTTACACTGAGAGATGTTTTTCTCATCGGTTCACGGTGAAAGGCAGATCACCATATACGCAATAGTGAAATCATGGATACGAAAATGGGACCACTGTACAGCTATAAACGCTGGTAGTAATACAGTCAGCTGATGAGTAGTTTCGCCAGCGCCCACCTTGATGTAAAATGCACGTGTGAACTGATTAAAAGTTTTGCTTGGATTATAAACTTATAAATAAATTTTTTATTCTTGACTAAGCGAGGCACGCCTGCATAGGCATGAGCATGGTAAGAGTACAAGTGATCAAGGAATGCACAATAGTATAATAGGATTGCCATTCATGTTGATGCACGAATGTATGTGTGTGTAGCTGTGTTGCTTGGTTTTATAAAGGTTTTGTTGAACCTTCGGTTGTGTTTGAAAGTGTCGCCAGTGCTAAAGGGATGTTTGACGTCCATGAATTTGAAAGGATTGTACGAATAAGCAAGGGTTGGTTACGTTAGTTGGTAGCGAGCAACATCCGCCACGTACCAGAGTTGTTAAACGGATATTTGTAGCTTTTATAGGGAAAATGCCTGCCAGGTGAAAACACACCACGTCCTGGAACACTGCTAGAATGGGTGAACCCGAACTATCCAGCTGGCACCATGAGAAGGTTGTTCGACTAGTCAATAATAGAAATAGAAGCATCAAAATGACTGCCAAAGTTGTCACTGTACCTGATGAATGCACATGAAGAGTAGCAGAAGTTCATGGTGTAATACTGCTGTGTGCACTTCTGGCAGCCTGTACCTTTTCTCAGCCAAATCCATCCATAAGGCTTTCAAACACAACTTAAGGAAATCATTAGCCTCCAGAGATCTCTCAAGATAGTCCTTAACGCTAGCAAATTGCACCTAATGGGCGTGAACTCCCCATCGAGTGACCCATCTCAGATAAGCCAATATTATCCCACTCCGTGTACTCATCCGTTACTTTATGGGCTGATTTGGGAATGGCTACTCCATAATCAGTACGCATCTTTAAAGAGTGATTGCGCCTGCTGGATGCGATTTGATAGCGTCAATGACTAGCTTGAGAGATCCACAAAGGATCATGATTTCCTTAAGAAGGAATTTGAAGGCGTTATGGATGTTATTAGCTGGGAAAAGGTACATAGAGGCTATTGCCTCTAGAACGACCAGTGGAATAGAAACCAACTGGCGACAGAAGGAGAGACAAGTAACTACGGAAACAACGGCCCGATTTAGGGTTGATAAACGGCAACATTTATCACAAAATGAGCCAGACTACCTGCAGGACATGGTTTCACCGGAATGCAGAGTAAAGCCGAGTCAGTCAATTCAGATCAAAATAAAAGTAACAATGTCGTCCATAACCGATCTTCGTTTCAAAGCGTTGCAATGTGTGAAGAGCAGGAGAATTAAACGCTGTGGGTTGCTTATCGTGGATATTCATGGCTCGTGCCAGTTGGATTTCTAATTGTACGCGTGAGTATTGATAGCCATGATAGATGCGCTCCCGTATTAGATGGTACGAAAGGGAAATTACTCAGCTGTTAAAAGTGTCCTGAGGTAGTTCTAAGGGCGTAGGGATTGAGGAAAACGCCATAATTCTTCGTAAAAAGACGTGAATTATAAAAAGCCTGTCCAGACAGGTTAACAGCGCGCTCGTGAAGAAACGCTCAGGCCCCTGAATATAACTCCGCAGATAGCATTGGGAAACGTATAAGTCGAAAGTAGACTTGGCACAGCGTCAAGCATTTTGTTCTCTTCGCACATAAGCTACAACTCAGTAAGTACAAGATAAAGTATCCGAGTAAATGTCATATAATATGCTTCCGGGAGACTTAAAAAATACCGTACCATTTTACGTACATCATGGTAATCGCTGTAAAAAGTGAACAAACTAAAAGGATGATTCCGGTACCGCGGATGGCATACAACACTTGCGTAGGATGAGCTATGATAGTGGCGACACACCATAATTTACTAACGACGTTTCGTTGGCCCGCAGCCATCGGCAGTAGCACGCAGGCTGGAATACAGCGAGCTCGTATAAATCCTATCGTCACAGATCGGAGCTGCCTTCGCCGTTCACCTTATGTCTGATAGGAACATCGTGTTCGGCGTCGCGTATCTGGTGAAGGAAGTGAGAGTGAATCGTTTAGTGCCGCTATTTCAAACATGGAGTTACAAAGGTTTGGCCAAGTGTTTCGCATGCCAACACAGACTTCCGCGACGTGCGTTGCTTGCGCACCAGGGGTGTGGATGGAAGAAGAGGATGGGGACCAAGAAATGACTTGGTCATAGGATTGAAGACCCTCACGTCGAACTTAGCGTCGTTTAGTGTCCCTCGACTGACGGGATGGGGTCCAAATGGCGATGAGCAAGTTTTGTTAGTAGTAGTAGCAGTAGTAAACAAATAAATAAATTGTATATTCCTCGACGATGTGAGAAGCTGTTCCCTAAAAGGAACAGATCAAATAATGGTGCAACCTTTCCATGGCATTGCAGTAATACATTTTCAGAAATAAACATGGGCGCAATTGCAAGTTAGGTAACGCAGAGTAATCAGAAGCGTTCTGCTATTTTTTTCCCGCCATTGAATCAGGACTCTTCACAATCACATGACAGATGTATGGCCCGAGGAAAAATGTAGTGAAAGGGGGTGTTGTCCGAAATGTTGTGTATGTGTTTCGAAAATTTATTCAGGCACTATGGATACCGTTTTCGAATGTGTTATCTAGGGACTGTGATGTCCCGAACATATCAATCACATTTTGGACGGTTAAATACTTACTAATCGCAAGCTTAAAATTGCAAAGTGTATAGCATGTTCTGATATCACTTGGATGCTTGTTCCAAATCTTTGAAAGAAACGTTCTCTGATTCTCGTAGTAAATTTGGAATCATGACCTTTACCTCTTTGTTACGTATTGGATATCTGCTGTTTAAAGATATGTGAACACCGTTATCAAGACTGCGAATTTGACAATTTATGGTTCTGTAAAGAAAACATAGGTTCAGCTTCAGTATCCGAAGCCAACCTGGGTCAAATCCAAGTTTACCACATCGCTCTCTGTATGTCAACTTTGAGGAATATCCACATAGCTTTTTCGTGAAGTGTCTCTGGACCCTCTTAAGAGCGTGCTGGTCAGATTTTCGCAGATTAGACTGTACCATTGAACAGTACATATATACATACAATACATATGTTTTGTAAAGCGATATGCGAGATTCCGTGAGATAAAAATGATGGCAGATGTAAGCGATGGTCTTCATGGCTTTCGACACTTGAAAGTCAGTGTTAAGAAAAGTTAAACGTGACTGTATATCGCACGCCCAAGTCGCGAAATACCCTGCATTGCGAGATATATGCGCCTTGAACTAATAAACTCTCTGGCGGTATTTGGCATTTGTACGACAAAATATTACACTTGTCCACGGCAAATGACATCTGCCACAGTTGGCACAGGAGTCAAGGGCAGATAGGTCATCCTGAATGAGACATACGGCTTCCTGAGTATTAGCATATGGTTGTGAGTAGACAACTTTAATGTCATCAACAAAGATAAATGCAACACCATTTCTTATTCTCTGGAATATATCGTTAATATAAATTAGAATAAGAGGAGGATCAAGGACACTCCTTTGAATCCCTCCACTAGTGATTGCTTTCGGTTTAGAGAAATGGTCGCCTATGCGCATCACCTGTTGTCTACCAATTAGATATAAAGACAGTCAAGAGAACAACGGTTCTCCAATGCCTATAGCCTTCAGTTTATTTAGTAACCTTCTGGGAAGCACTTTAACAAAGACTTTTTGCATATCTATGAACAGGATTACGACACTGTTTCCGTCGTCAATGGCAGGCGTTGTGAGGTTTAAAAAGTCAGTCTGGTATGTTGCGCAGAATTAACCTTGCATGAAGCCGTGTTGCGAATTGCTGATGAGGTTAACCTTGTTCAAGAATATAAATAGTTCATCTTTCACTATCCTTTCCATTATTTTAGCTACGATGGGTGTGTGATTAATGGGACGAAAGTTTTTAACCTCGTGGGCAGCGCCATTTTTATGTCGCGGGATAACGACAGAAGTTTTCCATTGAGTAGGGTATACTCCGTTGTTAAAAGAGAGTGTAAAGATGTTGAGCAAAAGCAGAAGGAAGTCACTACCACTGCCTTTTACTAAACAAGGGGGATCCCGTCAGAGCCTGCGCACGTTGAGGAGTATAAGCGAGAGACTTGACCAGTGATTTTCGCTATAGTGAATTCGTCGTAGTATGTTCCATCAGGCGTGGGGATAAAATTGAAATCGTCGTCGTCGTAGTAGTAGCAGTAGTAGTAATAGTAGTAGTAGTGTCAACAGTCTGAAACTTAGAACCAACAAAAACTATGGAGACGGGCGAATAAGAGGTTTAGTTAGCGCGTCATAATCATCGTGGCACGGTAGTTGGTGAGCAACACACTTCAGCTACTATGCCGCGTAAAGAAAGGATTTTTTTCGCACGCCCTACCTTTTAATTATTAGGCATTAAGATTCTGCTTCTAAGCAAGTACGTACAGAGATCAAAGGAACGTACCATTAGAAAAAATTTAACGAAACATTTTGGTTTGTTTTTCAAACGCCGATTCTTCTCTTGTCATTTTCAATGTTTGAAATATTAAACATGTGAATCAATACAACACTAAACAATTCTCCCACTGATTCCGGTTGTGGGTCATGTCATCAAGCATGTTAAGTTAATGGCACTCTTCATTCTTGAGTCCCCATCCTGGAAGACGTATGGGTTCAAAGGCGGCTAGACGCGACGTCAATGAGTTCATGTGCTGTCGCCAAGTGGAAGGCTGACCACCACGCGGTTGCCTCCAACCAGGATCTTGAC